TCATCATCAACAACAACAACAACAACAACAACAACAACAACAACAACCACAGTAACAACAATAACAGTAACAACGACATCATCATCATCAACAACAACGATGATGATGATGTGCTATCAAATCAGTTCTAACTTAATTGTGACTCTACTTTCCAGGGTTTTCCAGGTAGAGAATACTCAGAAATGGTTTCCCATTCCCTTCTTCTGGGAGGGGGGGATCCCTGGGACTGTGCAGCTGGCCCAAGGCCACCCAGGCTGGCTCTGCTCCCAGTAGGGAATCAAACTCCCAACCTCTGGCTCCACGGCAAAATACCTAACTTACTGAGCCATCCAACCAGAGCATGAGGGCTGTGAAAACTCTGGCATGGTCCACTGGAGAGGATCCGTGCTAATCAGTGTGGATGCGGCTGGTCCGGATGGAACAAGGTCGGCGCTCAATATACAGCCGCTTTCTGCGCTCCCAGATGGGGAGGGATGGAGCGTGGCCAATTTCTTTTTCTGTTAGAGAGAAAGAGGGAAGATGCGAAGGCCTGGATATATCATAGCAGGGCTTTGTCTTTGTCGTTTTTGTTCGTTATTGTACTAAATGTACATTTTATACTTTTTTTTGTATTGGAAAGAGAAACCACCCCCAAATATTTATGGGCGTGATTCTATATTTTATATTCAACCAAGCCTGAGATTTTAGTGAAATATTTGACTAATTATAAAGCATTTTTAAAACCTGCTTTGGGAACAGATCCACTTTAGGTGTCTTTACTGCGGAAGGAAAAACTACAACACCAGCAGTGGTTACACACTGCTTTATCAACATAAAGTTTCCTTTTTAAGCAACGAAGACATGCTGTTAGATTTAGGTAATAAAGGCTAGCTTAGTGGGGGGGAAACCCATGAAGGCTTAGAGAAGTAGGAGGAAAACATTTGTAATTAGGGGTCATAAAAAGCTTCCTTCTTGAATAAACATGATGGAGGCTGAGGGAGTGAAGACTTAGGAAGAGTGTTTTGCTGCCAAAGGTCTGCAGCAAACTGTGGTCGTTTGTTTTAAAAAAATCTCTGGCCGGCACTGGGTGTCTTGAAAAAAGGGCTTGGAGTACACGTGGCCTGTGGGCCACGCATTGGCCACCCTTCCTGTGGGCACAAGAACCACAAATGAGCAACTATAGAAGCCCATAGAGTTGATGTGAGAACTGCAGAGCAGGAAGGGACCCTATAGATCATCCAGTCCAGCCCCTGTCAAGGAGGCCCAGTGGGGAATCGAACCCCCAACCTCTGGCTTCACAGCCGGAGTCCTAAACCACATGGTCTCTCTTTTTAGAGTCCTTTCATCACTAAACCGGACTTGGATTGGACAGTCCTTCAAATAGACGGGTATTTCAAACAAAGGTTTGGGCTCTGTTGCAATAGAGGGCTGTCCTTTGTAAAGTATAATACATGGCCACTTTATTCCACGCTTTCCAATACGTGGAGGTAGGTGATTAAGCGATGATCCTTCAGGCTGGTCTCCACAGGGCCAATGGAGCAGGGTGGAGCGGACAAAATAGGGTCTCTAGGAGGCTCGGTATGGCATCTGGTCAAACAGACCTCAAGCAACCCTCTTTGATCCCCTACTATTTGCTGTTCCTTTGCCAACATCCTGAAGTGGCTTAAGAAAAGAGCCACCTCAGGATACTAGCCAACAAAACACTTACTTATCTCCATGGAGGGGCTGGGGAAGTCGGGAAAAACATTTTAAAATGTGTTTCAGGTTACTACATATGTCCTGCATCATCATTTTTTTAAAAAAAGAGATAAATGGAAAACAACTTCCTGGAAGATTTTGTTTCTTTTTCTTCATATGTCTGGTCTAGAGCCTGCCCGATGCAGCTGTGGGAATATTAGGAGCGGTGTCAGCTTTGCCTATGGCAAAGATAGTGTTACGGTGTGGTGGGTACATTGCTGTTCCTCACAGATGTAATCGTTTTTTATTGTACATTTTTATTTCCCAGACTTATCTGCCCCTCGCCTCGAAAAGGCTAAGGAAATTGGAGCCGATTTCACCCTCCAGGTGAAGAGTGAGAGTCCAGAGGAGGTGGGCCGGGCAGTAAAAGATCTCCTTGGTTGCATGCCCGACATCACCATTGAGTGCACTGGGGCCCAGCCCTGTATCCAGGCCGGAATATATGTGAGTGTCTCTTTATGTCTGTGTGCGTCTTTGCTTATCTTTAACTTCTCCAACAGAAACGAAGGAAAACATACACACTTATCCACAGCCTAGAAAATATACAGTGGTGCCTCGCTAGACAGTTACCCCGCATGACAGTTTTTTTTGCTAGACATTGACTTTTTGCAATTGCTATAGCGATTGGCAAAACAGTGATTCCTATGGGGGAATTTCGCTGGACAATGTTTGGTCCCTGCTTCACAAACCGATTTTTGCTAGACAACGATTTGTCTAGCTGATTTTGTCAGCTCCCTCCGTGCTCGCAAAACGGGTGTTTTCGGGACCTAAGCTTCGCAAGACAGCTATTTAAACAGCTGTTCGGAGGTTCGCAAAGCAGCTTTCCTATGGCCGATCTTCACTAGACAACAACGATACTTCCCCATTGGAACGCATTAAAGAGGTTTCAATGCATTCCAAATGCTTTTCGCTAGACAATGATTTTGCTAAATAGTGATTTTAGTGGAACGGATTATCATCGTCTAGCGAGGCACCACTGTTCTGTCTTTGGACTCCCGGGAGGTGTGATCACATTTGCAATATTCAGCTGATCCTTGATGCCAGGGGTGGGGATTGAATTAATTCTGACCCCCTCCCCCAACCCTCTCCTTGCCTGCCAGGACCAAAAATGAACTGAAAATGTCGGAGAATGGGGAGCGTCCCCAAACACTCTCTAACAACACCAGCCTTCTCTCCGACACCTATTTTAACTTTCTTGGTGCTGAGCATTGCTCTGTGTATCTTTCTGCACATTGCTTGAAGAAGCTGCTTCTCCCAAAGCTGCCTGAATTGGTTCACACACTGCTTAGGGGTTTAGGCCTCCAGATGTGGAGCCAGAGGTTGGGAGTTCAATCCCCCAGTTGTACCTCCTTGATAACGTCTGGACTGGATTATCTATAGGGTCCCTTTGAGCTCTGCAGTTCTAAGTTGATGATATTTTGGTCCTCTTATTTTTACCTCAGGCAACCCGTTCGGGAGGAACCCTGGTTCTGGTGGGCCTTGGACCTGAGATGGTCACGATACCCATCGTGAATGCTGCTGTGCGTGAGGTGGATATCAGAGGGATATTTCGGTACTGCAATACGTGAGTATTTGCCAGGATCCAGTGGCATAAATTGTTATTATTTGTTTATTTATGTATTTATTCATTCATTTCCTTCTTTCCCACCTTTCTCCTGAAAAGAACCTAAGGCGGTTTACGTCATTAAAAAGACAATATTTATTTATTTATTTAATTTCTATGCCGTCCACTCTACCCAGAGGTCAAAACTCAAAAGCTCAAAACTGCGAGTATAGAAATATAGCTTATACAGTGGTGCCTCGCCTAACGAGTGCACCGTATAGCGATGTTTCCGTATAGCGACCCCTTTTTCGGGATCGCTATACGGAAACATACCCGATCGTCGCAATGAGGAAAGCCCGCATTGCGAAAATCGGGTATTGCGGCGGCCATTTTGGAGCCGCCGAACAGCTGATCGGTGGTTCCAAAATCATCGCCGGAA